GGGGGTACAGGGGGTTGGGGGTAGCCCCAAGGTCGCTCCGGCGCCAATGAGCTGCATGTCTCGCAATCAGAGAATTGCTTCGCTTGGCAGGGTTAGTTTCCGGGTTTAGGGTTTTGGGGTTTTGGGGTTTAGGGTTTAGGGGTTTTGGGTTTAGGGTTCGCCTCCGAAGAGAACTTCGGCGTCCGAAGACCGTGGTAACGGGAGCTGTTAGGGTGCAGCGTTCAGATCCGAATACCTCGTGGTCATATCAGCCATGTGCTTAAAATACCCACTGGTTGGTTATCTGCTTTCACCAACCCCTATATAGACCCTATACCCCAAACCCCAGACCCACAAAATCCCAAAATACATCGTAAGCTGAGCGCCGCGTGAACTGAGAGTGTCTGCCTTGTTCTGAGCGCAGAGCTTGAAGGCAGGTTGCCGCACACAGTCTAATATTAACCATATGTTGGCGAACAAAATCCAGTGGTCCTTTACAGGTTCTTTTCAGGTTGCCTTCATTCATGGCGCATCTGACCTCAGAGGTGAACCTGCCGAACATAGTGCCTACCGTGAGGATATATAGGTAGGCTTTAGGATGGTTCCCTTTGCATGCTTACTCAGTCTTCAATTACTTATGTGTCGTAGGTGCCTGGTCGCTGAAAGACAGGATGCGGGAATGTTTCACGTTCTTGTGTTTTTGGTTCTGGGTCCTTGTAGAGATTTCAACTGGCATCTAAGTCAAAGTATTTGGTCATGGAAGCACCCTAACCCCCGCAGTTAATTACCTACTATATAGGGTACTAGAGCCCCTAAGGCCCTACATAGTAGGTGCCTGGAGGGTTAGGAGAACTCTTAGCTGCTCTTGGCAGCTACCACGTTGATGGAGCTTAGAAAGCTCCTGGTGGGAGTCTTGCCCTGAGCCCTGCGACTTATGCATGACTGTAGGTATAAAACAGTATGTCTGCATCTATATGTATGTGAGTGTATATATATATATATATATGTATACCTATAGATGTATGTCGGATTGTCTGTCTGTATATGTCTCTCTGTATGTATATCTATCTGTCTTTCTGTCTGTCTGTCTGTCTGTCTGTCTGTCTGTCTGTCTGTCTGTCTGTCTGTCTGTCTGTCTGTCTGTCTGTACGTATGTATGTATGTATGTATGTTTGTTTGTTTATTTGTGTAGAGACACATCACACATATATATATATATATAGGTGTGCATATGTGCATATGTGTCTTGTATGGAAAATCACGAGCATATATTATATGCAGTATGTAAGTATGTCTACAAGATCAATCACATCGTGTCTGCGCTGCACGTACGAATGGTACAAGGGTGTTTCTTCGGGAATCGGGAATTGTTTGCATTGGTTATCAACCTCTAGCCCTGAACCCGTAAAAAACATATCGTATGTCATCCTTTGAAAGCTTAGTCCATCAGGCCCAACAATCTCCCAACACATGTTATCAGTCATAAGCAGAACAAGACGTGACATGCGTCATCGACCTAAGAACGAATCGGTGGTGACATGAAGCTGAGGGACCCTACAGGTATGGACTGAAAAAGAGTAGGATCCCGAAATTGTCGGATCCATATGTTTTCGGATCCACAACTTTTGGGCCCCCTTTGATCCCAAGAACGGCCGAAAACATGTTAAGTAACGGCCCGAAACGGCTTGTTCACCTTCCTCTCCCTCGGACAGGCCCGACTTCGGGGAGTTTGGGACTGCATGGTTGATGGTTTCGGTGGTTACTCGAGACCGGGCACTAAACGTGTGAACCCGACAAATCTTGAAGGGTTTAGGGCCCCTTTCTACCCCTCCTGGCCGGCTGAGGCTTTGAGTTCTCAGGCATCAGGCGCGCTGAATGAAAGAAAAGTGGCTGGCTCTTCTTTTAGAGATTAGGGGTTCATGGTTCAGAGTGTGGAGTTTAGGGTTTAGGGTTGCAAATTCTGGGGCTTCAGGGTTTCGGGCTTTAGATGGTGTAGCGTGGACTGTTATCAGTGCTACTGCCCGAAATCCTGAAACTCCAACGTCGCAGACCGAATTCACAAAGCCTGCGCATGAAGACCGTCGCCTTACTAGAACCAAAGCCCTGCGGGTAACCCTTGGGGTAAAGGGTTTTTGGGTCTAGGGTTTTGGGTTCTGGGTTTAGGGATATCAGTCGATGTCAACAGTGGGGTCATTGCCATTGCTGACGAGAACTGAACTATCCGTGGGTGTGGTTGCTCTCGAGTTGTCTGGGGTGTCAGGGTCCGGCATGATCGCCTAAAGTTTGACCTTTCTTGGCAGCTTGTTTCTGCTGCTGAGGTAGACTCCTAGACTCCTATACTGATAACGGGGCTGTGATCACGCACCTGCCGGCAGATTGCAGACGACGGTGGTTACTAATATCGCAAGACCGCTCTCGACACCAACTGTAGCACAGCGTTTCTGCCAGATGTACATTGTGACAGTTGCAGTTGCACGGAGTTTCCAGACAGGTTCCTAGTCAATCTCTAGCGACCCGTCACTCTTTTCGTGTTGCGCCGGTCGGTGCAGGCTCGACCTCTGCGCGTTCTGCTGTGGGGTTTCGCATGAACGGCCCTGCAACACCAGGCCACTACCTCCACGTTGAGTAGGCATACAGCGTCCCACACCCAAACAAAGCAGCTCGTTTTGGCATGGGGAGGTACGAAAGCCACATCCGTATGAAAGCCACATCCATTTTACATTCATTTCGGAGGGGGGCCGGAAATCAACATCCATTCCGCAGCATCCATTTTACATCCGTTTTGCCTGGGAAAATGGATGTAAAGTGGATGCTGGACGGGGCGTCCGAAAAAGCAAGAACACGTATTTTACCTGGGTACTGGATGTAAAATTGATGTTGGGCAGGGTCCGAAAAGGACGTCAATTGGTCCCCAAAAAATGGGAATGGGAGGAGGAACGACACTCTGGTCACGGCTCCTAAGCCAGGCTTCCCACTCGTCGTCGCTACCCGGTATCATGTCTGTGGCCGAATGCCTCCTGAACAAATGGCTGCACAATCTAGGTTCGCTAACACCTCCTGAAAAATGGATGTATTATCCACCTTCGATGAACACTCCCTGTCCGCTATTCGACTGAAATGGACGTTGGCTTCACATCCCACATATTGCAGACATTCTGCGGCTTTCCCGATAGCCTGATTTCCTCAATTGTGGGCTTAAGTGTTCACGCAATATATGGGTTAGAATAGTTAGCAATGTTAAGATGGGCCCTGCTGATATCATTCTACATAGTAAAATATACCTCGAAACCTATTCTCATCATTGGGTTCCCTTTATTAATGCAGTCGGGCTCGATGCTACAGTGGTTGTCCTGGCTTGCACAGTTGACTCGTCCAAGCAATACCCCTAAACCCTTACTGGACATGGGGGTGCCACACCATGGTAATTGGGCTTTGAACTCTAGAAGTGTACTTCTGGATTTTTTGCATATGCGGTTGAGGATGTGGGCGCGAGCCAGCCCCTACGCACCGGTTTCAATAAGATAAGAAAGGGGCCTTTCGGAGCTCATTATAGTATGATTATAAAAAGGACCCCCAAAAAACAGTCTTGGTAATTATTTACGCCTCTACATTACTCCAGGCCGCAGAGGCCGAGGAGAAGTAGCGGGACCCATCCAGCTTTCCAGGCTTCCAGGTCTTTGTTCGCTGTAATGTAGGGGCCTTAATAATTTGAATGGGGTTTGGGGAGTCCCTTACCCGAACCCTATTCTAATTATTGAGGCCCTACATTATCCTAAATGGGAAGTGCTTCCCAAAAGCCTTCTGAAAAGCCGCTCAACTCCCTGAAACAAAAACCCTATCAAACCAAACCCTACGCCTTTATATAGAGCCTAATCCCGAAGCCCTCAATGGCTTACGTGCGCTCCTGCTACGGCCATGGCGGACCCACTGCCTTGGACAGCGCTGCGAGCGCTTTGTGGCACAAACTTGCCGGGAGGTGGACTTGCTTTCTTGTATGTATTCTGTATATATATATATATATATAACATGTGTATATGCATAATATAATACATTGCTTGCCTGTTTCTTCCTTGTCTTTAAAAGGGTTTAGGGTTCGGGTTTCCTCTTCAACATAATATTGAGCTCCTGTCAACCTGTTTGTGGAACCCCGTCGGAGAGGCCCGAGGGCTAATGGTATCTCGACACTCGTTTCGATTGGTGTGTTGGTTTAGGGTTCAGGGTTTAGGGTTTAGGGGGTAGGGTTTAGGGTTTAGGATAAAGCTCAAATTCAGTTCACAAGTCTTTGAGCATGGAAGCCTTGAGCGTGAGCAACAAGTACGAACACAGGCCTAGGGTAGCTCGGTCCGGTGTGCAGTATCAAAGATGCCCAGGGATCCCAGCAGACATGTCACTTTCCTTCGCAAAGAGCATGTCCAGAGATTCGGTCACTGCAGGGACTGTGACAGGGTTTGGACCATGCAGGGCTCAAGCTGGATCTTTGCAACCGTGGCGGTGTTCAGCCCAAGTCTCCTTGAATGGAACCCGGCAGAAATTGCTGAGAGCTTCGGCTTGAAGGGTAGCTTCCCAGCGATGTCGGATAATTCACAGGTGGTGGCGATTGCGAGGGTGATGTCGGCCATCCTTATGTTGATCTCCATTTCGCTCCTGGCGTTCGTGATGCCGCAACACATTGAGGAAATGCCTCAATCACACCGTCGGTACTTGGACTCAGGTGGACTCGGGGCGGCCATTTGGGGCGTGCTATGCTTTGTGTGTGGCTTGGCTGCCCTGGCAATCACACCTACCAGCGCGTCGAAGGACAAGCTCCGCGGAACATCCGAGAAGGAGATTCGGAAGGTCGTTGGTGACTATGGAGACCTTTTTTCATGCAGCAAAGCCCTTAACCCATTCGGGCGAGTTGGAAGCTTTCTGCTTCTGCTGCTGCGAGTGGTTGGTAATGCATCTTTCATTTTCTACAACTTTCATTCGCTTCCCAAAAGAAATCCAGACGAGCGTCTGAATCAGGCGAAACATTGCGTGACATGGATGGAACTCCCTTTCATGGTGGCTTTACTTTGCATCATTGTTCTTGCGGGGATGAAATGCTTTGCACAGGAAACGTTTCATATGGAATTGGCGGTTGGCTGTCTACGGTGAAGCAAGCTTCAACATTTTCGGTGCTGCTCTCTTTGCCTTACGCCAATCCCATAGCAGCCAAAAAAGAGATCGCAGAATTCGTCAGGACCAGAGGCGTTGCTTTCGGGGTTTTGCGGGCTGTGATATTCATGGTGAAGGTGCCACTGGCGGTCATGTCCGTACTGGTCAAGGTGGCACAGGTGGACTTCATCACGGAGAAGATTGTTTGGGACTGGAGTGTGTGGGAGTATTTAGCCCTGGCCGGATTCATTAACAACCTTGCCGGGCTCCGCGGCGACCATGATGCTTCCAGGATGACTGGCATGTTCTTGCTCTTGGACCACAGAGATCCAGAGGCATTGCAAGGGATCTTCTTCGACAAATTGGCAGCTTCCGCTGTGGAGCACTACGGCGTTGCCGGAACCATGGTTGTAGTTGGCACGCTCAGCACGCAGGATGTTTGCAAATTGTTGAATCCCAGAAATTGCCTGGAAAACTCCCGGCATGAGCCAGATGATCAAGGAATGTACGAGGTGTTGAAGCCAGAAGTTGGGCCGTGCTTGGCCGTAGTTCCGCCAGAAGTTGGGCCGTAGTTCCAAGTTGCAGAGCAGGCTTCTTACCTTTTCGCATATAATATTGACTGCCGGACGAAGTTCCTGCATCGTTGTGCAGCGCACTCGTCTACAAATTCGTTCAGTTCTATACTGCACCTTCGACAAACCGACGGGCGGTTGAATGCAGAACGTAAAGCAGAAGGCAGTTCCAAGAACTCGCTGATGCGCATGAATACTTGTCGTCTGAACTGTCAAAGGCAAGAGAGACACTGCCTCTCGAACACAGAAACAGCTGGTTGCACGGAGCTGCTGCAGACTCCTTTGGCCGTCCAAGTGGCAGCAGCTAGATGACAGGTCAAAGCTTCTTCAGGCGCATGCCACACACCTTACAGCCGTGATCTCCACAACTTCACCTCTGTTCTCTCAACCTCTTCCAGTTCCGTCACATTGCCATGCAGGTGCCTGGGGCCTGAGCAACAAGTACGACCCCACACGACGTGACTTGCAGTGTTTGGAAACATTGGAGATTGACTCCTTGCACACTCTGCACGCTCTGCCCGCTGTTAACAGTTCTGGGCTGTGCCGCTTGCGTAATGTCTCAAGTCCAGATGTCGAATGCTGAACCCCAAGCCTCTACACTTCTCAGAATGTCGGCAGTGCTGTTCATAGGTTGGAATGCCCAGACTATCTCGTAGTTACGTAGTTATGTACCGTTGTTTCCGATGCTCATGAAGGCTTTCTCCGGCTGATGTCACTCGGTCCACATGGACCCATGGGTCCGAGGAGCTCAAAGGAATGTTATTATCTGTCTGTTAATGGCACCTGACTACTGTGTTCCCTGGATGTTCCTATGATTCTCGTAGTTCCAACCGTTCTGCTCTTGCCTGCAGCTCCTGAACTCAGATTTTTTGTTTTCTTCAGATACATCAGGATCGTTTGCGGTTTCTCCAGTCTTGGTTTGGCACTGTTGACATACACATAACCCATGTGTTTTGTTTGTGACTGTGGGGAAAGGATCGCCACGCCCCTTTTCTCAAACTCATCAAGCAGACATATGGGTAGTTTTCTAAATTCGGGCCCTTTTTTAGGTCCCCAATAAAGTACGGCACCCTTATAACAAAAGGACCCCAAAAGGGAACCTAATGTAGAGAACTACCCATATGCACGAGGTCCCAAATCAAAGCCACCCATGCCGAAAGCTGTACATTTGAGACTCGGCAGGCATCCTCCTCCTGTGAAGCACCCCTTGAAAGCTCATTCTTAAAGTCCTAAACCCAGAAGCCATAAAAACTGCCGAACCTCCAAACTCCCTGCATCAGAATGCATACAGCTTTGCACCAGGCCCTACCGCAAGTTTCTGAACAGCGCGGCTGAAGCCCCACCGAGCTTGAAGACAAACAAACCCTACTGAAACCTTAAGCTCTCAACTCTAAGCCCCCTAAACCCTAAACGCTACTGAAATCTTAAGCTCTCAACTCTAAGCCCCCTAAATGGCTTATGAGCGCGACTCCGGTCATGGCGGACCCACTGCCTTGGACGCCGCTGCCAGCGCTCCATGGCGCAAACTCTCTGGGAGGTGGAATTGCTTTCTTGTATATGGTTAATTACATATAATTACATATATATATATATATATATGGTGTATATATGTATATACATTCTATAGTATGTATGTATATATATATATATGCTCTTGCTTCTTGTTTTACCTCGGAGGGTTTAGGGGTTTGGGTTTAGCCGGGGGTTTGAGGTTTCTTAGGGTTTGGGGCTTTCCTTCAGGGGTTTGGGGTTCAATGGTTTGGGGAATTTAGAGTTTGGGGGTTTAAGGTGAAGGGCTTCTGTTTACCTGGATGATTTTAAATGTTATAGCATGACTGGTGCCGCTGGGAGAGGATATGTAAAAATCGAGAACTTGATTGCCCCTGAACAATCGAATACACTATGTATACTTCATAGCACGTTAAACAATATGCTACCAAACACCATAATATAGCGAGGCTTTGCACAGGGCCTTCCGGACTTCAGGTAATGTGGTATAACAAATCATCTCAGATGATATTTGAGCCCTCAACTCGAAGTCAGAAGCCTACTTGCCCTGTTTAACTGTAGCTCGAGGGATATCCCGAGTAGTTGGGCAGGACGAAAAGAGTGGATAACTTAACTTTCACAGGCGAGGTATAGGGCTTAGGGTTTAGAGCACCGGTGAGGTGTAGAGTTTAGGGATGTTCCTGCCGGACTTCGGGTGTAGAGTTTGGAGACGCTGGGGGTTCCTGTGTGGTGTCATGAAGAATCTGGGCTTGGGCGTTGATCTCGGAGATCCCCTAAACCCCACGCCTGAAGCCGAAAGCCCAAGGCCTAAACTTGCCTAAACTCTATAAGGCTAGGTTTTTTAGGGTTCAGGGACCCTAAACCCAAAGTCGAATCCTCAACTTCTTCAGCCAGGCAATGGTGTCGTGCTCCGATTGTCGCGACCATTGCGGCCGGGTGCCAGAGATGAGGCCCAAGATTCCCCGTCACACACATGGTTTGCGCATTGTACTACTTAGGGTTTAAGGTTTAGGGTTTAGGGTATATTTTACTATAGTTCAGCATGTTGAGGTCTAGGATATGAAATTGTTGAGGGCCCCGGTGACTCCCACAACTCCTCAATAACAAGAGTGATTCCCTCGACGGTTTCTTCCGGAAAATTGGTACCTGCAGGCAGCGTGGCCCTTCCTCGGCATCCGCAGCGCCGTCCTCGCTGCGGCAGTTTCCTGGCCGTCAGCCAGGCGGATGGCGGTTTGGGGATGTCGGGTAGGGTTAAGGTGTTTTTTCTCTGGGAGTCAGCTTTGGGTTGGTTACAGGACCTGAGGAGGGGGTTTCCGGACGGAAGGCTGTAGGACCTGGGGTGTCATGCGACAGGAGTCAGGATTCAAGCGTCGCTTGGCCACATGGAGTCTGCGGGACTGTGCATTCGGCCACCAACCCCCACATCCGAGCCGCCGTTGCATTAAATTAATGTTGCCTTGGTATTTTTGCCACACTTCGATGTGATGTTTACGGCTGGATTACTGAGACGAGTACATTGAAGCTTCATACAGGGTCCATGTGCATCCTCTGGTGCGCCCACGGTTACAAACGGTTACATGGTTTTGTTATACTTAAAACACATCCACACCCTCTAGAAATCGTTATGAAATCGTCAAATTCTGTCCAAAGCTGCTTACATTCGCCATGTCATTTCCAAATCGTTGCGGAGCCCTTATCTAAAGGCCAAACTCCCAAAGGCTTTAAAACCAAGCCGTAATTGTTGCACATCCGTAGTGTATAAATGTCACAAACCACCCAAGCTCGAGCTAGATGCTAAGCCCTAATGCAAAGTAAACCCGGCCTAAGCCCCCAAACGCCTAGAGTCCCAGCATCACAACCTCTATTGCAAACGATAAAGTTCTGTGCCCCAAACCCCTTGAAGCCCTAGGACCAATGAACAAAAAACACGCCACTCCGTCAAAAGCTCTTCGTACTGTATCATCCCAGCAAGCCACTCTGTAATCCACGCTACGTAAACCTTCAACCTCAAAACCCCTAAACCCTTAAAC